GTAGCTTGTAGTGTTTGCTTATGGGCTTAGAGTTCCTAGCTCAGTGCCTGGTAGACAGTAGGTGGTAGGCATGTAGTCTTTCCTCTAAAATCCATGGAGAAAATACAGAGTAAATGCCTTTTCTGTTGTTGCTCTTGATATTTGGATAACTGTTTATAGCTATTAAGTGCCTAGGAAACTTTTATTTCTTTAAAAAGTGTTTTTCTTTTTCTTTTCTTTTCTTTTCTTTTCTTTTTTTTTTTTTTTTTTTTTAATATTTGTCATTTGTCGTGCATGCATGTAGTGGTCAGAGGACAATTTTGTGAAGTTCTCTCTACCTTTCCGCCTTCCTTCTCGTCCTCTTCCCTCCTTCAGGTGATTTAACTCAGACTCACATACAGAATGTCTTTACCCACTGAGACATCTCCCTAGTCCTGTTTTTTTGATGTTTACATATTACTGTTTCAACTGAACAGATTGGATTTTGAAGAATAAAGTCCTGGGCCTGTTAAGGACCATTTCTTGGCAGCTACTTCCTTTTGAAAGTGCTCCTGCTCTATTTTTTGTTGTATGTACCACCTTTTGGGCAAGAGCACCATGCATTTAGTTTCTTGGGAAAGGAGGCAGCTGTTAGGGCAGTGTTCACTCATACCCCATTCCTTTAGGAAGAAGTTACAGCTCACCTGGTGGCCTTTCGAGTTTTGATTTTATTTATACTTAGGCACTAGCATATCAGGTTTGTCCCTTTTGCCCTTTGGGTTTGCAGCCAGAAGGCCTCCTGACCTGCCCAGGTTGAGTTGAAGAGAAAGTGAGGTCTATTTGTTTGGTGCTGTTGTCTCTAGGACACCTTCTTCAGCCCTTTGTATTCTTAGAAACAAAGTCACTCCTTGGCAGTAATAAAGCCTGCATACACCACTGGCCAGGGTTTGGTTTCACGTTCACGGCCTTGGAGAGACAGCGCCAGCTTCTCTGTCCGTTTCAGCTTTTCGGGCACAGAGGTCACATCCTCCAAATAGAAACCTTTGAAGTCTTGGTCTACTGCACTTCGTGACTTGATCTAGAATTCTTATTTAATTTCACAGACTTGGGAAATGCTGTTCAGCTTTTTTCTCCTGGATTCAGCTTTCATGAACAGTTGACTGCACATCTGGGAGGGCATACATAGATGGTTCCTCGGGAAAATAGTATCGATATCTTTGAGACCCAAAGCCTGGCTCTCACATGCAGAGCTGTATTCTTGACTCCAGGCCTATTCTGGAATGTGTGACTTTAGACAACAATGTGCAACTCTGAGCTCCTGTTTTCTTTTCTATAAGCGGAATGTAAAGTTTACTACAAGGATGACCTGAGGTCATATATGTGACAAGAATGACTCATGACAGAACACAAGAACTGGTCTTCCCTTCTTCAGTTCCCCATGAGCAGCTGGCTCTGAGGGTGGGGCTCCAGCATTAAAACCCGTTACACACCTTCTTCTGTTTGCTCCTAGCTATCGAGTGATGGATATTTGCTTTCCTAATCCAGGGTGGCGTGAATATCTATAACCAGACTATTAGTGGTCTTAGCGGCTAGGTTATTGACTGCTCCGTGACTGGCAGGCCTTATGCCGAGCACCATCTGCCTGTGATAGTTACCTCTTGTCCTGGGACTCTTCTGCTGTACAGGCAGCACACTGCCAGTGTGCACAAGAGGGTTCCTTCCTTGTGCTCAGTAATTACCATGGTTTTCAACTTGAATGGGCCCGTCTTGGGAAGAAGAAGATAAACGTCTCCTGACCCCAGGTTAGACATCAATGACAAAACAAAGTAAGGATCCATTCAAGTCCACCTTGGGAACTAGTGAATCCACTGGGTTCCTTTATAGATTATGAGTGAGGCTTTGCTTACAGTTGTGTGGTTGACTCCCTCTCTCAAAAAAGCTACACCATCAAAAAACTTAATTTAGCTCAGTATCAATGACAAGTGCCCCATGGCTGCATAAATGAGGTTCCCTTTCATTTAACCTGCCACATTCTGTTTATTCTTTGTAGAGACCTCAAGGCCATGTACAGCTCAGGTAAAGTTAAGTACATCTGGGATAGAGTGGGAAAGAGTGCCGAGATCTCAAGTAGGGGTCTGATGATCTTCCTCATTCCCTCCTTCCATAAAGAAACCACAAGCTGGATCCTGAAAGTGTCCAGGGGTGCAGCCACAGCTGCTCGCATGAAGATGCTAATGGCTCTTAGGCTCAAAGGACACATTTCACAGCATGGCCCCTATGAGTATGATGAAGTTTGCCCTTCTGTTTGCCTTCCTAACCTCTTGTCAAGGAGGAGCTGTAACACTTGTGTGGGAACATTTCAATGTTGAGAACAAGAAGACTTCAGAGCCTATTAACTTTGTTCCTACTCTGCCCTAGCCTGTGGGTCATCAGTGAGTCAGAAGAGCTGGGAATGCCGGCAAGTCACCTGCATTCAATTTACTGTGTTCTCAGGGCCCTGCTGCACTCCATTCTCTTCCATGACTCACTGCCTACAGGAGGCAGCAAAACTGGCAGAAACGGGACTGCTCAGACTTCAGGCTAGAGGCTAGTAGTTCCTTAGCCTTCACTGTACCTCACCTCCTTCTGTGGCTTTTATTTTCTTGTCATTGAGAAGATGGCCTTGGGATTGGAGAGATGGCTCAGTGGGTAAGAGCCCCCCGCTGCTTCTGTAGAGGCTGAGTTTGGTTCCCAGCATCCATATGGTAGCTGACAAACCATTTTTAGTAACTTCAGCTCCGTGGGATCTGTACCCTCTTCTGGCTTTTGTGGACATCAGGCATGCATGTGGTGCATGTACATATACACAAGGAAACATCCATACACATGAAAGTAAAAACGAGAAAATAGTGTGACAGACTCCACACAGATGCACCCCTCCCTGTGACCTTGTCTTCCTAATACAGTGGCATTGCCTTGGACTTTGCAGGCCTTTGAACATAGGCACACTCTCTTCTTCCACAGAGGCTTGCAGGTTCTCAGTCTGACCACAAAACTGCCAGGCATCTGGTCCCTAAGCTGAGTGTATGTAAGAGTTCTACAGGGTCCTGTTTCATCTTATCTGGAATCCACTAGTCTTGAAAGCCTTGGTAAGGTTAGCACTCGGAAGTTGCCTAAGAGAGGGTTTGTCCATATGAAAAGGGAGATCCACCTAGTTGTATTCTGCATGTATAGGAAACTGGCATCAGATGAGACGTCCATCCTTCTGCTTCTCAGCGTCATGGCCAGAGTTCTTCAGTTGGATAGCAGTCAGAGTAGCAGCCAGTATTCTCTCCGGGTATGTTTTCTAGAGTTTATAGCCAGTTAGCCCAGTTGATGAAACTGGATTCATGGCCTCAAAGCACTTCTTTGTAGTGGTACATCTATTCACTGTGAATCTCAGGAATGTCATTAAAATGACAGCAGCTAGCATTTGAGTGCTTGCTTTTCATTGGCTCTGGGATCTACGACAGACTGAAGTATAGCATCATTTAACCCTTCTGACAGCCCTAGGAGATTCATTCCATCACTGACTGTTACTACTTTGGACACTAGGAAGGCAAAGTCACTGCCACAGATAGCATACTTTGGGTATAGGGTTTTGTCCTTGAACTGGCCGAATCTGGATTCCACATTCTTTACTAGTGGGCAAAGCTGTAGGAACATTTGCCAAGCCTTCAACAATTTGAATATTAACTATAATAGTCTAACTCAGGGTCATAGTTGGTAAGCTATTGGTGTAAACTTTTTTAGTGTGTGTGTGGGGTGGGGGTGGTCTGCTGTATGAAGAACTGGAAATAGAGTGTCCCTTGTGATTCCTTAAGTTCTCCTGGAGACCTTGCTCTCCTGGACATTCCTGGGCCATGTGTCTAAGTGGGAAATACAGGCCTAAAGTGGCAGAACTTTCTAAATAGTGGCTTCATATTTGACTACACATTGGACCTCATCAAGGAACTTTAAAAATGACCTGTGCCTGGCCTCAGTTCTCAGAGATTCCAGTTTAGTAAGAATGGGGTACAGGCATTAGTGATGTTTAAATGATTGTTGAGGGTCAGGACACACTTCTTTGTATTCCATGTACAAAGTCTTAAGCTAGGTGTGGTGGCAATATGTTTTATCCCAGTATTTAAGAGGTAGAGGCAGGTGGATCTGTGTGTGTTCAGCTTGGTCTACATATCAGATTGCACACTAGCCTGGGCTATATACTGAGCCCCTGTCTCCAAAACAACAAACAAACCAAATAAGGTCTTATAACAAAGCAAGGGAAGAGTGTCCTTAGTCAGTAAATGACTTAGTAGAATTTGAGCTCTTTGTTTCTTTGTTCCCAATTGACCTATGCATTTTTCTTACTGTCCCTGTTTGGCCTTGGAGATTCTTTACTTGTGGCCCTAACTTTATACTTAGCTGTGTTGACCAGCCCTTCATACATAAGTTTTTGTTTGTTTGTTTTGGTTTTCAAGACAGGGTTTCTCTGTGTAGTTTTGGAGCCTGTCCTGGACCTTACTCTGTAGACCACGCTAGCCTCAAACTCACAGAGGCCAATCTCTGCCTTCCAAGTGCCTGAATTAAAGGTGTGTACCACTGCTGGTGCACACAGAAGTTTTATATGGGTTCCTATGGTCTCATTTCTGCCAAAGGAAGGGAACACTTGTTTGGAAAGCTAGGGCTAAAAGGGCATTGTGGGTGATTTTACTAGCAGCTGTAATAATACAAGGTTTATGCTGTGAGTAACGAGCTGCAAAGGGTGTTGATATCAGTTTCAGGTGAGCCAGGTGACACTGGATAATAAAATTGTTTCTTGGTTTGGTAGTCAAGACATTACTGTGGTGTCTTATTTACTTACATAGCTTTCCTTAGGTATTTTGGAAACTACGTGGCCTGGCCCATCAGTGACAATGCTTGTTTTCCTCTAGGCTCTTCAAAGGTGGGATTTCACGATTCCTACTCATTCTCCAGTTCACATAGGTGAGTCCGTGTCCTATGAAAGCATTTGTAATGGGAATATCTCCGTTGTTTTTTTGCAGTACAACAAACACCTCTTCGTGCACATTGGCCATGCCAACCATTCATACAGTGATCCGTTGCTTGAGTCTGTGGACATTCGTCAGATATATGACAAATTTCCTGAAAAGAAAGGTGGTTTGAAGGAACTGTTTGGAAAAGGCCCACAGAACGCCTTCTTCCTCGTAAAATTCTGGGTGAGTAGACAGTGGCTGTGGTTCCGCTGGTTCCTGTGAGTGAGGGGGCAGGACGGCCACACTGACTGTGAGTGGGCCCAAGTCAGTGACTCACAGGTGGCTGGAGTCACAGTACAAAACTTGAGACCCAACACGGCTCCCTTATTGCTGCATTTCACTCCTTTAAGCCAAGTGGCCTGTGATTTTCACTAGAGTGTGGAACTTGGAGTCAGGATGAAGATAGATAGTTTGTGCCTCAGTGCTTCTAAGTATCAGAGAGGCTATACAGTGGCTTTGCCTGTGTAACTGTGTCGCTGGGCTGGAGATGTGGCTCTGTCAGTGACGCATTAGCCACACCAGCATAGGGATCTGAGTGTGATCTCCCACCCTCTTGTCAAAAAGCCAGGTGTGGTAGCGTGTGCTGTCATCCTAGTGCTGGGGAGGACTTTGCTGGCCAGCCAGGGAGCTCTGCTGAGGGAGCTTCAGGCCAGTGAGAGACTGTCTCGAAAAGCTAAGGTGGATGGCTTCTGAGTGAGCACACCTGAGAATGTTCTTCCTGCTCTCTCAGGATGTGATCCACGTGAATCGTCCCTGGTACTCAGGCTGATGTGTGCCTTCACTTCTAGTGGCCCAAGTGTGGGCCAGCTGCTGGCTGATAGGGCTGTGCAGGCATCGGTATAATTTGTGGGTACTGAGTGGGGAGCACAGGAGACAAGCCTCTAGCATTGAGAGTTGGTCAGTTCCCAGTCGACTAGAAGAACCTTCAGGTGTTTGTGCTTTCAGTGTGTCATTCAGAGCCCTCGATGACCTGCTTCCAAGGTGCTTTCCTCCTGCCCTTTCTGTGTACCTACACACCCTCATGTTCATCTGGACACCTTTGTCTTTTCCTCTTCTGTCGCCAAGCCAGCTACTTGCTCTCTCAGCACCTTCCTTACTAAAGCAGAACATTGATTTTTTTTTTTTTTCCCTTACTCCTGTTTCATTTTGTGGTTAATCAGTTCCCATGCTGGGTCATAATTATTGGGACGTGTATTCAGCTCCCCTCTGGACTCTGACTGGCCCCAGGGGACCTTATTCACAGAGTGGCTTTCATTTATTGAATGCCTGCTGTGTGCTAGGAGTGGGCTAAGTGCTTTACATGGATTTCATGCTGTAAGTGGAATTTGTCTCATATCCAACTAAGAAGTCAGGCCTGGGGATGACAAAGGACAAACTGCTTCAGGCTGGGGACCTGGTGCTTGAAATCATATCTGTCAATTTCAATACACCTCCCAGAGTTCAGACAGTTTAACCTATAGGCCACAGAGTTTGTCATCCTAAGACTCTCCATATTTGTGATACCAAGCATATGTCCTAGAGAAAAAAAGCCTAGCCAATTTGGGAACAAATGGGTGGATTGGGGAGGGTGTATGTTTTAAATTCCTTGGAATGTGCACATTAAATTTATTCAGGTTTTCCATTCTTACTTGATGACCAGGTCACACTGATTATGCCATCAGCATTGAAACTTGGATGGATGTGGACAGCAGTAACATTTAGGGCAGCCTGAGAAAGCTGCATGGGCCACCTTCCTAAGCTCTGGTGGCTGTTTGTAGAGACCTGCGTGCTCAGTGATTTGTTAAAAGGTGAAAGCTTGCTGGGTTCCTCAGAATCCTGCTTGCCTGTTTGCTTTCATTCATTCTCCTGTATCACAGCCTGGTTTTGAATTTCCATGTAGCCAAGGATGACCCTGAACTTCTGACCCTTCTACCTTTACCTCCGAGTGCTAGGATTGCAGGTATGTGTTACCATACCTGCTTTTTTTGGTGCTAGAGACCCAACCCAGGGCCTCATTCATGCTAGGCAAAGCATACACTTTACCAACTACATTCCATCACCTGCCCTTTCCCAGTATCTTGTAATGCATTGCTAAGATCAGAAGTGTACTTGTTAGAATACTCAAGTATGACTCACCCTGACTTGTAACCTGCTGCTGATGCTCACACAGGTAGCAGCAGTGTGGTGAAAGCGGTGATACAGTAGGACCCAAGGCTAAGGCTCTGCTCCTCAGAGGTACCATCATTTAGAAGTCCTGTGTGCATTTGATTACACCTGGGGCCTAGACCACATCTTGGCAATGAACACCGAGCCCATCTGGACATGGAAAACTATAGACATTATTTATTTCCAAAGATAAAATTTAAGTTTGTAAAGAGAAACTAGAATTTTAGGAAATTTGTCCCTATTTCAGTGAACTTACTAGGTGCCCAATACTTAAAGAGTTTTCTGATGATAATCCACAGTAATAGTAAGAACTATGCCAGGGAGACCGATGGATTTTAATGTTGGAAGAGGCAAAGTTGGTGTGAGTTTGGACTGCTCACACACCAGAGCTAACTCATGAGAAACCCTGGCTGAGGAGATAGCTGGGTAAAGGGCTTGGGGTACACGCTTGAGGGCCCAAGTTTGATGTCTAACACCCATATGAAAAGCTACCTGTGGTGACATGCACTTGTAATCCCAGTGTCAGGGAGGTGAGGCCTGCTGGATGGCTCAGAGGGTGAAAGTGTTCACTACGGAGCCTGATGACCATGGTGGGAGAACCAACTCATACAAGTTGTCTTCTGGCCTTCCCACATGTGCTGTTCTCCCAGTGGAAACAAAGAAGTACATGTCATTGAAATAATTAAGAAAACAAGGGAGGTGGCTCTTAAGGGCTAACACCAGAGGTTGTCCATTGATTTCTGGACACAGTGAACATACATCCCCACACACAAAGAAATGATGGCTTTTGTTTAAGAGAAATCGATGTAATCACCTGAGTCACCTATTACAAATGTCAGGCCATGCTGTTTATAACCCAGGCTGGCCCTAAACTCAAAGAGATGGGACTGCCCCTGCCTCCAAGTGCTGGGATTAAAGATGTCTGCCAGCACCCTGGTTCTCCCCTTCTTACTATTATAAAAAAATATAGGCATGGCTTAGATGGGCCTGGTGGTGAGGCAGGGGCAAGTGGGTCTTTGAATTTGAGATCAGTCTAGTCTACAGACAGAGTTCCATGTCAGCCAGGATTTCACAGAAAACAAAAAACAAAAACAAAACAAAAAAAACCCTGTTTGAAAACAATCAAAACACAAAACAAAACCTCTTTCTCCCTCCTTCCCCCCCCCTCTCTCTCTCTCACACACACACACACACACACACACGATATACATGTATGTTTAAATTTTAAAAGGTGTATATTAGCATATAATTTATTTTTTGAGGGCTACTATAAGGTAAGATAAAAACTGTAGTACATAAAAAAGATATGAACTATGAAAAACAAAAGCTGTGTTGTAAGCCTAAGAGTGGCCCTTGAGTCAGGTTTGACAGTCCTATTGTCAAAGATAGGAAATGGGTTGTTTATCCAAGTTAATAGAAAATATAAGATAATTAGAAGAAACCACTTTCAGTACTTCAAAGTAAAGAGCAGTGGGTTTTAATGGTAATAAGATTTCTTATAATTAACATTTATGTAGAAGGTGCTTGGAAGAATTTATTTTTGGGGGAGATTTTTTTTTTTCTTTTGGCCTTTGCTTTCAAAATTGCTCCTTTTACAGGGGGTGAGCTGCTTTCCCTGAGGGGAACCGTGGGTCATAACTCTCTTGATAATATCTCCTGATAAGGAGGCCTAGGTTGCAGATGTGTGGCTGGTGGTGTGGAGACTTATGTTACTCCAAGAGCCCCAGATACTTATCTGTTCTATTCAGATTTACAGGATTAAAATTGAGCACTTCCGTGAATATGATAGAAAACGTGACTCATTCAGCACCACTGTTGGGAGTCCTTAACCTTTATGAGGAAATTCACTGGGACTGTTAGGGACAGAGGAGAAAAGGCAGCTTCAATCAGCTGCCGTTTGGAGTCTCGCTGGCTTCTATAATGACTTGGTGAGGATGGGTTGCGCTCTTAGCTTCTTCATCCTTGGGAATCAGCAGGTGCGTGCCATTCTCGTTGCTTGAGAAGGTTTAACGCTCCCTTTGAAACAGTCTTTATATTAGCAGTTCATTTAGTGGATTCTCTCTTAGTCTGAATTCAGTAAATTACAACAGAGACCCCTATGCCCAGCCATGCTCCCTTTTGCCTTTTTCTCAAATCAGGAGGACCCTTAATTTGCTCATTTGATTGCTGTTGAAATTCCATTTTCAGAGTTTCTAACCTGGTTCAGTAAGGCAAGACAACCTGAGGTGTTTCCTATGGCAAAAAAATACATACCTGTGCTGCCATTTCACAGACCCACAGCCAAAGCAAATGACAGAACCTAGCACACCAGTGTGGGCACCTCAGGTGATGAAAGCTTAAGCTCTCATCACCCTGGCAGACTGGACTGGACAGAATTAAAGCCAAGTAACATCTACAGAGGAACTGAACTTAAAGGTTTAGCCAAGTAAGGAATGCAGATGAAGTTAGTATCTTTGAGGGGATTTTAGATTTCTACTTGCAGTCCTAATAGTGCTCCATGAGTATCAAGTACGCTCATGTCAAATACTGTAAAGAAAGTTGAGTGTTTTCACCTTACAGCCCCAAACTGTACATAATAGGGTTTAATGAGATGAAACCTTATTCTTAAACTTATTTGGAGTAATGAGTAATATAACATCGTAGCCAGGGGCTAGAGAGATGGCTCAACAGGGTTCAAATCGCAGCACCTACATCAGATGGCTCACAACCATCTGTATCTCTAGTTCTGGCCTATGAGGGCACCTGCACAAACATGTATATACATACATGCATATACAAAGTAAAACAAATCTGCATACATGTGTATATACTATACACATAAGTAAAATCTTTTTCTTTTATGTTTTTGAGAAGGAGGCCTTAACCTGGCTGGCCTTGAACTCATTATGTAGATTAGGCTACCCCTGAACTCACAGAACCCCCCCCCCACCTCAGCCTCCCAAGTGCTGGGATTAAAGGCCAACCCAAAATACAATAAATCTTTCAGAAACTTCTAGTTGTACAGATGTGTATCTTATTGCCAGTAATAAAATTTTTCA